CAGGGCGGGCGCCGCCGGCCGTCGGCCCCCCTGGCGGCTCGCAGTCCAGGGCCTGCAGCAGGGCCGCCGGGGGGCCGGGCTGGACAAGGTGCTTGGCCACGCCGCGCCTCGCCGCGTCGCGCTCGCTCGGGCGCAGCAGGCGCAGCCCGCGGAGCCGGAGCAGAGGGGAGCAAACAATAACAGCAATATCGCACCGGCGCCACCGCCGCACCGGGCGACACAAACAAGGAAGGGCGATAATAAGAAAGCCGCAGTAGAAATGTTATTTTTCCCGCTTTATTTCCCCCTCGAGCCTCGAGCACCACCACCGGTCACCCTCCCGGAGAGCTGCCGTTGCGCGCGGTCCTTCCCCGTCGTTACGCCACACGGGTCCGTCTGTCCGCCCTGGCTCGGCTGTCCACCACCGGGGCGCGGAGCAGAGCCGAGCGACGGGCGGCATCGACGGCGCCTTATTATGCCTCGATAAAAGTACGAGGCCTGCGTCGTTGCTTCTCTCTCTCTGTCTCTCTGCCCCCCCCCCCCCCCGCGCGACCCATTCAGCCGGTGGAAGTGATTCCCCCGGCTCCCTCCAAGCAGTGCGTGCGCGCGCAGGACGCCGACGGACATGCCGGCCCTGCCTGCTGTCGCCCGCGCGCCCCTACTTGCCGTGCTGTTTTATTGCACTTCCGGCTGCTGCTGCACCGGCCGTGCCACGCGGCGCCGCGCTGCTGTAAGCGGAGTTGTAAGACCCGAAGCGTGGCGGGGCGGGGCGGGGCGGGGCGGCCCGGAGCAGCGACCTTGCACGTCGTAGTGGGCGGGGCGGGGCATGGTAATCACCTGCAGAGGGCAGGCCGTCGACTCGGCGCGTGCGCGAGCGCGTGGCCACGCGCGCAATAGAGAGGCACAGACTGATCTGCGCCTCTTTTTCTCCTCCTTGGGCTTGGTCCGGACGGTACACGGCGGCGGCCTCGGACACCACCGCGCTACCGCGACAAAGCCGCCGTTTAGTGCGTCGCTGTCGCTGCCCGTTCCTGCTCACCGACGACACCCTCTTGACGGATTGGCTGGAGGGCGGGGGTGGGGCGATGCCCGCGGGTGCGCTTCTCACAATGCGCCGCGGCACCCGACCGTTCGGCTCGCGGTGCGCGGTGTGGGAAGCGCCGCGGCGCTTCGTCGTGAGCACAATGCGGCCGTCGGCCGTCTGCGAGGACTGGCCTGGCCATTCACTTTGGCGGGATCGGGGAGCGGCGTCGTGGCGTGGCGGATCTGTTTGAATGAAGGGGGTCTCTGAGATTCGGGTCCTGCTCGACTAAACGAGGTGCAGCAGGTTGGAGCGGCTGAGGATTAAGAGAAAGGAGGGGGGGGGGCGTGAGTCTTCACATTTCACCGAGTCAGGGTCACGCTTTGCCTTGCGCGGTTGTCCAGGCCAAAGGGTTCTTTACTGTAAATACAAGCCTTCACCATTTTTTTTCTATCGTTTTTCTTTTTTTGTGATTTTATCCTCGATTATTTTCTGATTATTGGGAAAGGGGGTTTGATATACTCTGATTCTTTTTAGTGAAGTACCCTATCCCTCTTTCCAGGCTCAGATCACTTCACCACCGTCTTAATCTTTGCGCGTGGCGTGTATGTCTGTGTGCCTGTAGTTCAAGCGCTCCTTTCCCTGTCCCCGCAGGCTCCTTCCTGGCCGTGTACTGCGGGCTGTCGCTGCTGCTCGGCGTGCCGCTGGCGCTGCTCGAGGTGGGCCTGGGCCAGCTGTGCGAGCAGGGCGTGACGCGCGTGTGGCGCGCCGTGCCGCTCTTCACCGGCGTGGGCGTCGTCAAGGTGCTGCTGTCCGCGCTGCTCTCCGTGTACTGGCCCGTGCTCATGGCGCTGTCCCTGTTCTTCGCCGTGTGGACGGCCAAGGGGCCCCTCCCCTTCAGCGAGTGCAAGTACAGCGACGGAGCGGTGAGTGTGGTCCCGTCTATTTCGTCGAACGTAAACGCTCGATTCGTCATCTGAAATCTTTTTCGCTCTTTTGACAGGACGGGTACCTTTACTCGCGGACGTCCGGAGAGTCGTGCCTCAAGTGAGTCCTACAAAGCAATGCAATACCGTTTTCTTGTAATGGGCGCGGCTTCACTGCTAACTCCTCTACTTTTCCTATTTTTGCAGAAAAACTTTCCTGAAATCCCCAGCGGAGGAGCCCATGTGGTTCAGCGTCACGGCCACGTTCCTGTTTCTGCTCTGGACCATCACGCTGCTCTGGTAAGCATGTCGACTCTGCGACGGCGCCTGCCGGTTAGGCACCCCAAGCCGCTCGCGCGGTGACCCGGTTGCCTTCGCTCCGGGCCCCTGGGCCCCTCACTCAAGCTTCTCGCGTTGTTTGCAGCGTGTTCCGGGGCGCACGGACCTACCGCCGGGTGCTGAGCGTGCTGGTCGTGGCCTTGGTGGCCGGCCTAGTGGCCATGCTGGTGGACAGCGCCATGCTGCCCGGGGCGGACGTGGGGCTGCAGCAGCTGCTGAGGTTCGACTGGGATGCCCTGCTCAACGTGGAGGTGAGCCACATTCTTGTCTCCCCTTGATTTTTTGTAATATTCGAAATCAGCAAGCTTGTAATCAACATGTTTTTCAGACATGGTACTTTGCAACTATCCAAATTTTTTTCTCAACCCACATTGGACTTGGCAGTATTGTCACTGGAGCTGGACGTTTTTATTCTAAAAGCAATGCAATTTGGTAAGTCTAACATAAATAAATAACATTTCTATTATTTCATGTTTCCGCAATAATTTGCTGATCATATTATTTTACTTTTAGGACTGCATTTGCTCTAGTTTTGTGCAGCTTGCTTGTTGGTGTATTGTGGGTGGCTATTATTTACCTGAGACTTGGTCAATTAGTTCAGTCCAATCAATTGCGTCAGCTGGTTTCATCAGATATACCGGAAACTATGGTATTGACGTTGCTGTATGACACAGCAGCTAAAGGAAATTCTGATCAAACTGTGGCTGCTATAGGTTTCCTTTTAATAGTGTGTGCCGGTTTTGCCTCAATGGTAAGCAATATATTAATTTTAAGAATGTAACTAAATTTTAATTTTCTTGTCTTTCCTCTTTTTGTGATTAAATCATTGTGGCCTCTTTAAGGTTCCCTTACTGGATACAATACTTTCTGCAATATATGTGGAATCTAAGCGCCGTTGGGAGTGGTGGAAGGCTGCTGCTCTTTGTTGCATTCTAGGTTTTGTTCTTGGGGCACTCTGTATGCTACCTGTAAGTGTGTGTGTTAGTGTATTTGTAAATCTACAACCTTACTTCAAAAATTTGGACCATTCTATTTTATTTTCTTATCACTTTTGTTATTTACAGGAATTTCTCTCTCTTATCCATGTTCTGGATCATTACGTTGTGGGCCGTTTAGCACTAGCCTGTACAGTGACTGAATTAGTTGCCTTTGTATGGATATATGGCTGTGGTCCTCTGTACACAGACTTGGAATTTGTAGTAGGAAGCAAATTGGGTCCTCTTTGGAAGATCTTATGGTGCCTAGCCCCATTGTATCTCTTGGTGAGTTATCAATTGTCATGGTGTATTAGAGTGGCAATCAGTGGAGCTTTCTTTCTAAAATCCTGAAATGTTATTTGTTGCAGGCTGTTGAAGCCTGGTCTGTAGTTGTCATACCATGGGATGGACTAACTGGCAGGCACGATCCACCATGGCAAGTCTTGCTCGGATGGGGATTATATTTTGCTGGATGGGCTATTATTTGTGTAACAGCTGTGCGACAAGTCTGCATACAGGTTGACTACAATATTTGTCAGGTAATATGGGTGAATGAATTTCAATCTAGAATTTTTAGTTTTTCTTCTTTTTAGATGAGATTCTACTCATCCTCATTTGTGTTGTGCTAATTTGTCTCCTTAGAAATTTTTAAGTGCTGTGAAACCCTCTCGAAATTGGGGTCCTGCAGACCCTATCTACCGTCACTGCTGGATGCAGTGGAGAGATGCCACACCTGCAAACAAAATGGATCACACTTTAAGAAGAAGGGGAACCCGCGACTACACCCATTCTGTCCGAATGGCAACAGCTCCTGATCCCCTCTCACATTTTTCACATTTAGCTCCTTCCAGAGGGTCTGGTCCATTTTTTATTGACAGCAAAGCTGAGCTTGCCGAACATGTGTGCTGGCGTAAAGAAATGCTTGACAAACCTCTTCACTGAGGTTTTGCTAGGTAGCTGCAAAGTTTCCTATATGTACATATTAGATGAATAACTATAAAATAGGAAATAATCATATGCACGGAGTACAAAATGGACATAAAAGCTTGGCCTAGCACCATCTTGGATTGAAGCCCCAAGCAAGTTATGGTATATACTTCTATGATTTTGAAGAAACAGAATTCCAATCTGTACTTAAAACTTTTCAAACCAAAGATTTTTATGTAAATATTGTACTATATATATGTGTAGTGTATCTACTTATGAAATATTTCCAAAACAAGCCATGACATTGTAGACAATGAAATTTATCAAATTTGAATATCAATTTATAAGGATTTGTATTTTTAACTGCTGTCATCAGTAACTGAGATGCAGTTTTTTCTGTACATTAAGTTATTCTTCAGTCCCCTTTGCTGAGGCTAACTAAAGTTAGACTGATCTATTTCTATTATTTACTATTACTAGTCTGCTGTACTATCGTACTGTCTTATATGCATTTGTTAGTTCATTAAGATATGTTTTCAATTTTTTTCTAAGTAATTGTCAAGTTATTTGACCATATTGACACAAAAACCATTTACCATCCTGCTAAATGTCTTCTTCATCCTGAATCTAATCTTGCACTGTGAGCAAGCTGTATCAAAAAACTTCTGTGAATGCCTGGGGGACAGCTCAGGTGGAACTAAATTGTCACAAATTTGTCAATGACCCTCATTTGACAGCAAAATGAGCTCCTAGCCGCAGTAAATTTTGACTATTTGAGTCAAAATTAAGTCATTTTGACAGATGTGTTCTACCTGGGAGCCTTATTTTTTGGGGGAAGTGGCATCCACTCGAACTACAATTGTATGAAATGTTCATTAGAAAAAAGGTACTGAAGACTGTTTTTTTACTGCTAGTGTATTAATGATGTTTGTGCTCAAGCCAAATATGTGCCATGTGCAGGAAGATAGAATGAAATAAAACCTTAAATGGCTATTTAGAAAGTCAAACTAGGGGCTATGAAAGTACTATGTAAAGATTATTTGGCTTCTGCATAGTGTATAGAAAAAAAGTACCAATATGTCAGACAAAAGAAATAAGAGGTGCTATTGTTACAACTCATTGTGTTAGGTGCAAAGCAGTTTGGAGTCTGTTGCAGTTTTACCATATCACATATTGAATTACAATTTTTAAGCCTTGTACTCTCAATTAATATAAAATCGTGAAAACAATAAATTTCCCAGACCAGTTCAAATCTTTTTTATTGATATTCCTGCCAAGCTACAGACAGCTGAATTTTTTTTCTATAAAACATGTGCGCATTGGTTGTGCATTGGCAACATACTAGGGTTTATAAAATGAAACACACAATTATTGTTTAGTTGAGCAATAACATTATCATGGCTTAAACATGGTGAAATAGCTATCAAGACTTTGTTTTTGATTAGAGATATCATCGGACGACACACCGATTTTGTGGCACAACTGAGATAAAATTCTCCCATCTTCCAACGCATCATGCGCAGCAGTCGTGTCAACACCATAGTGATTCGCTAAGTCACTAAGTTTAAAACGATACCAAGGCCGGGATGGTAGCTTAGCTTGGAAAACCTTCACACTATCGACAAAGGTGGATACGGCTGAACGAAGCTCCTCAAGCATTCCATGCTTTAACATATCCCTTACAAGAAGGGGGAAATCAAATCTGCAACAGAAAATATTTGATGTGCTAAAATTAACAGTATATTCTTTTTTGTGGTAACAATTTGACAATACAACTTACCTATGGGCGTTATGGCCCATGAGAGTCACATTATCATGAACACTTCTTAAAAATTTAATGAAATTTTGCCATGCAGCTTTAGGCTGCAGGCTTTCGACTGCTCGCCCATTTTTGTAGAGGTCCCCTCCAACAACAGCTAAACCATTGATTTTTGTTACTTCTGATGGGATGCTATTTAACGGTTTGATAAAGAAATTGCAGCTCTGTCCAGCATCTGTAGTAGCAGCAATCTGAAATACAAGATAAACAAATGTAAAAGTAGAAACATCACAACAAAATGCAACTAAAGAATGCTAGGATTTAGTCTTAATCAGAGTGTACGCTCTTAATCACAGTGAGAAATAGAAATAGTAGAAAAAAACAAAAAAACTGAAAAACAAAAATTCATTCATAAATCTGCGCCTATTCTACTCCTGTACTGTGAGAATACGACCCCCTTCTTTCCAACTCTACCAGAAACAGTTCAGCACCCGAAACAGCAACAAATTCCTTAAAGGAAAATATCAAAAATATAACTATCCCAACAATGGGGGGCTTAGTCATGGGCATGTCGCATTCCATCATGTGCTCTTGTCTGAGAACAAACTTAAAAATATTTATATATAGAAAAATAGAATTTGATGAAGTTATATACCTGGATAATTTCGCACTTCCTCACATCCAAACCAGTGGTCTCCAGGTCGAAATACACTAGCTGCGAGTCCATGGCGATTCTTTGATTGTTGGTCGCTGTTCTCCAAAGTTCAAAACCTTTACAACCTATTCCCCCTCTCGAATTACACGACTTCCGGTCTTCTTATTATGAGAAATTTACAAGTATGAAAAGAGCACTCTCGGAACTCTTGAGATTGTTCTGCAAGGCGATGCTGTGCTCCATGTTTTTGTTTTTGCCATGGAACTTGGAACTTGACACTTAGGTTAAAAAAGAATTACGGATGTACGCAATATATTTTTGTGGTTTTGTATCCATTTTAGTGTAAATTGATGTGCAATTAGGAAGTAATCTTTCGCAAGGAAAGGTTCATTATGTGTAACAACGACTGACATGGTTCTCTCTTGATCTATACAATAGTGTTATAGAACTCCTTATTCCTGTCATTGACAATGGGCAACCAATTAGTTGGAATTGCACCTTCGCAAATTTTCCCTGTAGAGCACTATTTGACTGAAAATCAGCATTTGCAAAATCTTACTTTCGATGCCAAGTGAGTATTTCAAGTTCTAATAAATAAGCTGTAAGCCATAACCTGTTATTATTATTGTAATTGGCTTATATATTCTTTTCAATTGATTCTGAACAGCCTTGGCAGTACGAGGTTTTTTAAAGTTGCAAGAGCCGGTTCTGTGGAGGGCCTTGTTGTTGTGAAAGTATTTGCCATTCATGATCCATCACTGCCTCTCGCTGCCCATAAATCCAAAGCTGAGGTGATACGGGCTAAGTTAAGCTCAGCTGTCAACTGCCTGCCATTCCAAAGGGCTGTGGTGAGCATTCTCTTATAATCTTGTTATTGAATTATTATTGAATACGCCAAACTTTTAACACCTTGAACATTATCCTCACAGCTCACAGATAAAGCTGGTTTTTTGGTGAGAGAGTTTGTGAAGTACAGTTTATACGATCGTATGAGCACTCGCCCTTTTTTTACAAATATTGAGAAGAAATGGATAGCATTTCAAGTTCTTTATGCTTTGCACAAGTGTCATGAAGTGGGAGTAAGTTCAATTGGTGTCAATGAATGTTTTTATATTATACTTAACTTTGATTTGTTATCCTCTATACCTTCTCTTACTTTCAACTATATCAGGTGTGCCATGGAGACATTAAACTCGAAAACATTATGGTTACCTCATGGCATTGGGTGTTTTTGGTAGATTTTGCTTCATTTAAGCCAACTTATTTATCAGAGCACAACCCTGCTGACTTTTCATATTTCTTTGACACTTCAAGAAGGCGCACTTGTTATATTGCACCAGAGCGGTAATGAATAATCTTTGTGACATTTCTTTTAGAATTTCTGTTTCAATTTGATTTTTATATGTGCTGTCTTTCAGTTTCATTAAAACACTAGGAACAGAGCTCACGAGTGATCTACTACTAGATTGGAATAGAGATTTAGAAAGAGCCGATCTGACACCAGCCATGGACATATTTTCTGCTGGGTGGGTTGAATATTATTTATTATATTGTTATTTTAAGTTCTTTAAAAATAAAAATACAAACGTACTATAACATATTTTTTTTAAACTAATGTTCATTTAATTGTTTTAGCTGTGCTCTTACAGAGCTCTTCACTGAAGGCCATCCTCCCTTTGATTTTGCTCAGCTTTTAGAATACCGCACAGGAAATTACAGTCCTGACAAATGTCTTGATCGTATTGATGATCCTGATGTGAAGGTACTCCTACTTGACCAGTATCTTGACTAGTACATTGGAGGTATTATTTTTTTTTGTTCATTTGGACGGTCTTTGTGTTCAGGAACTTCTTCGACACATGATGCAGAGAGATCCTAGTATGAGGCTGTCCGCTGAAACATATTTAAGACAAGAGAGAGGTCGTGTTTTTCCTGAAGTTTTCTACACATTCCTCCAATCATACACCCTTGCCTTCTCAGCTGCACCAATATTATCAGCTGATGAAAAAATTTCAAGGTACTGCATTGCATTAGGTAGCAAATTATATTTCATTCCATTTGAAACTGTACATTGCTCTCACAAAGGTATTTTTTATTTTCAGACTGAGGAAAGATATAGACAACATTATTAGTATCCTTAGTGTAGATTCTGATATGGAGAAGAGCACCTCAGCTGTCTCAGAGTTGAATCTTGATTCCAATCCGGCTGCTACTAACTTGAATGAAGATAACTGTTCAGTAGAGGCTACAGAAAAAAATCAAACTCTTAGTTTGAAGGAAATCAATCAATCCTCTTCAGAGGCACTAGTAATTATAACAAGTCTTGTCACATCCTGCATAAGGTAAGAAATGCAGGTGGTGGAAATAAAGGTGACTGAAATTAAACAAAATATTTTGAATTTACCACGGATTTGTGTTCTTTAGGGGTCTAAAACTTTGTATGTCAAAAAGGCAAGCATTGGATATTCTTCTAATGCTCAGTGCCCATGCATCTGCTGAAACAATTCTAGACCGCATTTTGCCATATGTATTAAGCATGTTGCATGATCCCTTACCTCGAGTCAGAGTGAAGGCTCTGCATACTTTAAGCAAAGCTTTGCAGTATGTGAAAACAGTGCCTGTGAGTGATACAAACATCTTCCCTGAGTATATTCTTCCAGGTCTTTCAGTGGTATGTACTATGATTTTTTTATTTGTGTGCTTCTATGTCTAGTACTGTCGGTTAAATATTTTGCTTTTATTTTTGATCAGCTAACAAAGGACCAGGCTGTTATTGTACGTGCAGCATATGCTGAAAATATTGCTCAATTGGCAGAAACAGCTTTAAGGTATGCCCCCTACTTGTGATTATTTATTAACTTTCAATCAATACACCCTTACAATATCTTTCAAATGTATCTAACAAGAATATCTAATTTACAGATTTCTAGAGCATAGCCAAGTTTGGCAGAATGCTTATGGTTCAAGCTCAGGAGATGGCTCTGGAGAAGCACCAACACCTGATTATGAAATGGAGTTGCAAACACTACATGGAATGATACAGCAAACTGTTGCCACATTGATCACCGATCCTCAAAGTCTAGTAAAACAGACCCTTCTAGAAAATGGAATAACAAAGCTGTGTGTGTTTTTTGGCAAGCAAAAGGGTAGGAAGCGGGAAAAAAAATCTTGAATCAAAGTTGTATGATTAGGCTTGATAAAACAATTGTTTAAACTTCAAATTTCTTGCAGCCAATGATGTTCTTCTTTCTCACATGATCACCTTCTTGAATGACAAGGAGGATAAGCACTTAAGAGGTTCTTTCTTTGATTGTATTGTTGGTGTTGCTGCCTATGTTGGATATCATGCTTCACCCATCATATTTCCACTGCTACAACAAGTAATTAGATTTACCTATTCTTATTAATTATATAAAAGAGAAATTTGTGAAATTATGTAAATGGAGTTTGTCAGTTTTCTCTTTCACTAGTCTTATATTTACCCTACAGGGCCTCTCTGACTCTGAAGAACTGGTTTCTGTAAAAGCTGTTAATGCAATGCGTGCCTTAACTGAATTGGGATTATTGCACAAGAGTGCTTTGTATGAACTGCTGAACGATTGTGCCCCATTCTTAGTACATCCAAACCTCTGGTTGAGACATGCTGTTGTAGGTTTTATATCAGCCACATCCCGCTCCTTATCTATTGTTGATGTCCAATGCAAAGTTATGCAAGCTTTAGAACCATACCTACTTCATGCAGTCATCCAGCCAGATAAAGAGGTCTGTAAACATTTGAACATTATTTCATTTCACTTATTTCATATTATTTGAAATAAAATTTTGCCTCATCTATTTATTTTGTATTTTAGGTTTTGCTGCTGAATGCACTTAAACCTCCAGTGCCCCGTGAAATTCTGGACAGCATCTTAAAGTCCGATATAGATGTTCAAGTCTTTTTTGAAACACTTCAAGAACGCCATAATCAACGTAGTCTGGTCCGCTCTGGACATGTTCCACAGTACACTGAAATTCATAGTGGTCTTCAAAGTGTTAGTCATATCTTGAAAGCATTATTCAGTTGTGTTTTATTGCACAGCTGTAGCATTTTGTCTCACTCTTTTTTTCACTTTGCAGCTGTTTCGACGGTTAATTGATAAAGGAATGACTGAGGAAGTTGAGGATTACCTAAGTGCTATGTCCAAACATCTTGTGAAAATACAGAAGCACAGAAGTCACCATGATGTCTTTCTTATTCCTCAAGAAAGTAATACAGGAATTGTGAGTATAGAGGTTCTATGTGTGAGAGTATGTAATCCATCCTATTCAGTAGCATTTTTACTATCTTTCTATGATATTTAACTTTTTTTTGACAGATTGATCTTGCTAACACTCATAAAGCTCAAGCATTCAATGTCACTTTGGTTGCACAAGAACACACCAAAGGGGACTCGGTGTTATCCAGGTATGTAAATTTTCATTTTAATTTCTGAACTAATTGAGATAAATGAATTATTGCTACAATTAGCATGGATTCTTTCCTTAGAAAAAGTAGTGGAGTGACCCGTGTTGGTCGTCGAGGCCCAAGTGCCCCTGAACTGATGCCAGCAGCAATGAACAAAGAATGGCTTCATATGTTTGGAGGTGTTGAGTCAGGTGGTGCCATGTTAAGAACAGCAGATGGTCAACCTGTTACGGGGTAATGAGATATGTTACCCTTAAATATGCTCAAATAAGTCATAATTTTCTCAGTGGGTTTTTGAAATGTATCTCAATATATGTAATCACCCTTTATTTTGGAATTTTCTTTTCAGATCACCCCCTAGAATGATTCTTGATTCAGATATGATGCTCCCTCATCGAAGTTTAGATACTGCTGGCTATTCTCTGCCTGAACATTTCTTTACACAGTGTATGTATAATTTGTGATTTCAAAATATTTGCATCCAGTAAAGATGTACTCTTATCTCAATTTTAAACATCTTTATTTTTAGTTCGATGTCCACCATGTCAGATGGAACTCAAAAAATTAATTGAGCGGAAACAGGAACAGTATTCTTCTTGTGCTCGAACTCGCCTTGCTGCTAGAGACACTGGCTGGGAAACACCACTTCCTCCTCCAGGCTGGAGACTAAGAGGAACACTTGTAGCTCATCTTCATGAACATAGAGCTGCTGTGAATAGGTATACTTTTTTTTTACCTAATTAAGGAATTTATCAAGATATTTAATCTAAATTTTAATTAAATATATATAGTACCTAGTTTTTATTCAATTTTCAAAATAAACCTCCAGTCTGTATTTGTAACATGTATTCTGTATGAATTTTAATTTGTATTCAGACTCGCAGTCCTACCAGAAACCTCCCTTTTTGCAAGTGCATCAGCAGATGGTTGTATCAGAATATGGGATTGTTCCAAGATGGAGGGTAGAAATATTGCTAACCGTTCACGCATTACTGCAAACCGCCAGACTGGTCCTCTCATTGGACTAGCTGCTTGCCCCGACCAAACTTTAGCTGCTGCATCTCAAACTGGTGATGTTTTTGTTTTAAGGTAATCTTATGAAATGTTACAAGCAAGCTATTTTTATTATTTTAAAATCCTATCTTTGTTTAATTATTTATGTGTGTCTGCACAGAGTGGAAACAACTACCAATAAAACTCCAGTTTTGCAGTCAAGACAGCTAGATTTGCAAGAAGATGGATGTGCAGTTGATGTGGCCTCTTTTCAATCAGGTAAATTCATTTGTGCTCATATTACAATTATAATTCAGACGGTGCCTTGAAGTTGCCAGACTTTCAGGCTCCAGTAGACTTTAAGGTTACACCTCGGGTTACACAGTAAAAACCTATATTACAATTATAATTCAGACGGTGCCTTGAAGTTGCCAGACTTTCAGGCTCCAGTAGACTTTAAGGTTACACAGTAAAAACCTATTCCTATTATTTTACAGGTCCAGTTGTGGTGTATGCTACAATGTATGGTTCTATTGTGGGTTGGGACCTACGCCAACCAGGAACAGCTTGGAAGTTAGAAAATGATCTAAAGCATGGTAGTAAAATTTTGCTTACATTCGACACAGTATTAATACCCCTACATTCTATGTGGGAGATGTTTCAGGCATTCAAAAACCCTGTAGATGTGGCTTCATTATGCTCACACTACACTGAATTTGTTTAAATAAATTAATTATGCTCAGTCAATTAAAAATGTTATCAAGAAAGTCAACTTATTTATATTTTTCTCACTATCTATTCTAGGAGTGATCACAACCATGTGTGTGGATCCAAATGAAAGCTGGCTTGCCCTAGGAACGAGTAGTGGCTATCATATATGTTGGGATCTGAGATTCCAACTTCCTATCTCTACATTTTCACACCAAGAAAGTAAGTTAACAATTAAAATGATTACTGTAAAGTCTCGTTTTACCTTGGATTTGATTAACTGATGTCTTGTTTTCCAGATTCTCGTGTTCGCCGTCTTGTATGTCACCCAACTGAGCCATCCTGGCTTATATCCTCTGTTCAAGGAAATAATGAAATTTCTATGTGGAACATGGAAATGCAATGTCGTCAGTCAATGTTGTGGGCTAGTAATGCCCAACCCTTTTCTTCTAATAGTCATGATAACCAGCAAAGGGTAACTCATTATTGTTGTCTTAGCTTTCAAAGCTGTTACCTTATATCTTTAAAGTATTTTTAAATACTATCTATTTATTTATAATTTATTTACAGTCTCCAAATAGTGTATGTGCCATGTATGCTGGCACTGTCGACAAAACACCGTTCTTGATTGCTGGAGGTTCTGACCGACGCTTACGCTATTGGGACTTGGAGTCACATGTCAATTCTCACATAGTTGTTTCTGCTGCTCACAATGACAATCTCAATCCAGCTCATCTGATGTATAGGTTGGTATATTTGTAATTATTTTGGAAGGTTATTCTACTTATTCCCTCTGTACACATTGTAAATAATGAAACTTGCAAACCTTTTCAGGACTCGATTGATTGATGGAGTAAATGTCGTAATTGAAGAAAAGCAAACAAGACCTCGCACAACGTCAAGTGGTCCTGGATCGCGCGGTAGCACTGCTGGTGTTGGATCTGCGGCCAGTAGCAGCGAAGAGACACCTCGCCCTGGTCCAGAACAACCTCCTGCAGGTCACCAAGACTGGATTAGTGATGTTGCACTGTGCCAAGCCTCCCAATGCTTCTTGATTTCAGCATCTTGTGATGGTGTGATCAAGGTTTGGAAGTAATTTTAATTAAAGAAGATTTAATTTTGGCTGTGTGCATGTATTGCATCCCCTATTAATTTTGGGACCCAGGGATGTATGCATGTAAATGATTTTGTTATTATTATAATTATTATTGTTATATTTACCATCAAAGCATTTGTGATTTTTGTACTGTTGTCTTGTTAATGTGTACCTGCACTTCTTTGTGAGTGTTTAATAATCCCTAGTTGTGCTACTAAAGAGTAGCTATGTGTAATTTTATGGGATTTAAATCTATATACCCATGAACATTAGTGATGAAACAATCAAATGTATTTGATAATTATTTTAAAGTACTTGTTTTTGTACGTGGAAGGAACTTGATCAGTCTGTAGTCTCATATACAGTTCAATATCAAAGTATCCTTTACATTTTTCTACTACTACCACCTGGTCTGATCCTTTTTGGGCACTTTGAATCAATCAAAAAGTTGAAAAAGAAAGGGTTTGTCATGTGAAAGGATATTCAGCCAGTGATACCTCAAGAGAAACCAGTGGTACAGTTTTATTTTTAAAGATACAACAATGAATAAAAATAACAGCAGCTGTAAAAAACATGTTATGATTAATGAAATAATAAATAATTTAACATCATTCAATGATGATGTGTATGAAAGTTGTATGAAAACTAGGTGGTATTATCTTCTGCCACAATATTATGCCTCCTGCACTGTTCTGTTATCTGAGAACTCGTCTAGTTCTCTTGGAGGTTGCAATGATAAATTGTATCCCCCACCTAAAACTCTTGCTCTTCCAAGCAGCTGAGAGAGTGTCAAGCTACCCACTTGACAAGTTCCATGCAGCTCTCGCAATTGTTGCTCCCTTTTCTTCTGCAAAGGCAGAAATGTATTGTGAAGCAGTAACAAAAAATTCAAAGTTATATTAAAAACCATGCCAGTGGAATAATGTACCAAATGAAAGTATTTTTGTTTCAATGTAGCAATTTCCTCTTGTGCCTTCTGCTGCTCCACTTGGTGTGCCTCCGCCCTAGTCTCGTGCATCCGCACCTCTGACGACAGACACTACAGACGGGACGATACCATGACGCTGCATACCCTTCACGTCAAAGGTCAAAGATGGTCTGCCTCTCCTTCACTTACCTTCAACCGGCGGGCGCGCTCGAGCAGCAGGCGCTGGCACTGTTGCAGCTGGTCCTGGAGCTGGAGGCCAGGCGCCCTAGACAACTCGAGCTGCAGCTGAAGCAGTTTCTGCTCGGCCTCACGCAGCTGGGCCTCTCGCACCAGCACCTGTGCCGACTGTGCCAGCAGACGGCGCTGCAGCAGCTGCACCTTCATGACCAGCTCGTAGTGCGGCGGGTCGGTGCCCTGCAGCCAAAGAAATACCAATGAGTTGGACGCTGAGGTCTTCCCTGAGGCTCCCTGAGGTACGGCAGGTACCTCCCTCCAGCTTCCGCCAGCGGTGGACGTTGAGCGGGGTGTGCAGCTCCTCCTCCAGCGCGCGGCACTTGACCTGGCTGTGCGTGAGCTGCCTCGTGGTCTGGTACAGCTCCAGGCGGAGCTCGGCCGAGTTCCGGATCATGGCGGCCAGGTTCCTCTTCTCCAGACGCGTGCGCTTGATCTCGACGCGCAGCAGGCGCACGTCGTCCAGGCGGCGCGCGTAGCTCTGCCTCCCCTTGGCCAGCACGGCGCCCAGGATGCCCACCTTCTCGTGCAGTAGGCGGGCCTCCTCGTTGCGCCGCTGCAGCTGCGTGGCCAGCAGCGCCGTCTCGTCGCGCGCCTGCGGCAAGGCGAAGTTCGCTCACCTGGTAAACACCCCAGCTGCTGCGCCAGCTGCCGGTTTGCGGCCAAGGCGAGGTTCACTCACCTGTGCTAGCTGCCGGTTCGCGGCCTGCTTCTCCGCGGACAGCTGCTTGACCTGTTGCTGAAGACCATCCTCGGCCAAGCGCGCCGAGCCGAGGGAAGCCCGCTGCGTCTCCACCTGCAGCTGCAAGCCCTGCACCTGCAGGCGCAGGCTGTCGCGGTCCCTCTCGGACCTCTGCAGCTCTGCGCGGCCAAGCCCGATCGGGCGTCAGTGTCGGTCACTGGAAAGGAGCCGAGGCCTTGCAAACGCCACTCACCGCTACGGCTCTTGAACAGCATGAACTCTCGACTGGAGACCTCCTCCTTGAGCTGCGTGGCGTCCCTGCGCGCCGCCTGCAGCTTTTCCTTGAGCTCGTGGGCCTCGTCCCTCGCGAGCGCGAGCTGCCGCTCTAGCTTGTTGGCCTCGACGCGGAGCGAGTCGCCCTCCTTGCGGCGCGCGCCCAGCTGCTCCTCGGCCTCCTGCAGGCGCCGGCGCCCGCTCTCCACCAGCACCTGCAGGTGGAACACGTCGCGCTTGCTGCGCCGCACCTGCTGCGCCAGCTGCGCCGCCTGGGAGGTGCACTTGTCGTTGTCGCTGGCCAGCTGCTCCGCCTCGGCGGCCTTGGCGGCCAGCTCCTCCTCGCAGCGCTGCACCTCGAGGCGCAGCTGGGCCGACGCCTGCTCCACCTCGGCAGCCGACTTGCGCTGCTCGGCCAGTTCCACTGCAAAGGCACATTGTGAACCAAGAGCCCTAGGGCCCACCAGTCCCTACATATTGATTCCCGTACACACACAGCGAGTTCTCCGTTCTGATCCCTCTAGCGTGCGCATCCCCCACTCCCCCGGACTCCATGACGCCTGTGAAGCGCGGGGTAGGCAGCCCGCTCGCCGGCGGTTTGCACGGGTTGCCTATGCCGCTCACTGCAGGCGCCTCTTACTTCGCGGAGGGAAGGGCGAAAGTGGGATCAAACTGCGGATGTGAAATGTGGCGAACAGGGGAAGCCACTGTCTCTTTAGGTGGCAACGTGGTTACTGTAAGAGCATATAGTCGAGTTAATATTGGAGTACAGTGGAGTGGCGATATCTAATTTGTTTTTAATGCAAAGAGCTATGATCGTTCGGGGCTAGATAATCGCATTGTTGTGCCTCCCTAGGGGGCCCTAGGGCCTAGACCACCTAGACTTAGACTTGTGTTTGAATCGCTCCCGCCAAACTACTCTCGACGAGGTTCGCGCGCCATGCGACAGATGGCGCTGGTGTCACCCCTCGCGACCAGCTATCTATAGCTCGCTCCGGCTACCCGCGGCAGCGACAACCATGCTGAAAATGCTTCTTGCCTGGTCAGCTTGCCAAAAATCTTGTATTTATTGACTCGCGCGGCTGATCCGACACACAGCTACCATCCCTACCCCACTAAAACCGCTTCAAAGTTAAGACTGTACTTCACAGGATCATTTCTGTAGTACGTCTTCACTTCTCTCTACTCAACAGTAGAGTCAATGAAACCACGAGGATGAGACGTAGTCCACTTCCCTGAGCGTGAGGCAGACATTGAGTCGGAATAATTCTGATTCGCTGTCATCGATGATCGTTCACTATCTCTTCGGAGGTAGAGTGGGGGGTGGGCACTCTGAGTGGTTCCATTACATAGTAAAAATGATATTAGATAAATTCAGCGATATTTGTTCAGGCGCCTTGCGGGCCGAGCGGATCCGCCCTCCGCCCTCACCTGTGTCCTTTAACTCACACCCGGCTCAACATCAGCTTCCAAATATGACGGCTTGTCGGCTTGTTCAACCGAACTGGAGCCACCCATTTACTCGTTTCACGCCGTCAGGCCGTACCCGAAATTTCACACGTTGAGATTGGCGTGGCCCACACCTTACCGTGGCTCCCAATAGCTTGGGATCGCCTACCCCCGCCGCCCGCCGCACTCAACGTGTTCAACTTACTCTTGAGGGCGAGCAGCTGCCGCTCCGTGACGCCCTTGTCGCGGCCCAGCCTGTCGAGCTCGGCCTTGGCGGCGCGCTGCTGCTTGTCGGCCTGCTCGGCGGTGCGCTCGACCACGGCCAGCGACGCCTGCAGCCGCTCGCGCTCGGCGCGCTGCTCGGCGCGCCACGCCTCCTCCTGGCGCGCGCGCTTCTCGGCCGCCTCGCGCGCCTTGCTGAGTCGCGCCACCTCGATCCTCATCTTGGACAGCTCGTCCTCGCGCGTCTGGAGAGAAAGCTCGTCTGTTAGTGGAAGCCCTGCCCTACCGCAGGACACCCCCTGCACCTGAATCCGCCGCTCTCGGCGCCGGCCGCACCACATACCCGGAGCTCCGTGTTCTTGCGGTGCGAGTCGTGGATCGCCTTGTCCAGCGCGACGGCTTGCGTCTCCAGCTCGGTCTGCGCTCGGCTCAGCTTGGCCACCAGGGACTCGGTCTCCTTCGCCAAACGCTCGTTGGCCAGCTACGGTCACATTGGTGCTCAATTAGTACAAGGTGCAGCTGCCACACAAACGACCACCCCTTCATACTCGCCTTCTGTTCGCGGAGCGCCACCTCGCCGCGGTGCGCGTTCTTGTTGGCCTGCGCCAGCTGGAAGGACAGGTTGGCGGCGTCCGCAGTGCGCTGCTCCAGGTCGGCGAGCAGCGTCCGCACCTCCTCCTGCAGCTTCTCCTTGAGCCTGGTCTCCTTGGACAGCTCGTTCGCCTGCACCTCCATCTCCTGGGCGAGGTCCTGCAGCCGCTGCTCGAACACGTTCACCTGCTGCTCGAGCTCGGCGCGCGTCGCGGCCGCCCTGGCGAGCCGGTCCTTGAGCGTCAGCACGTCCTGGGAGAGCTTCTCGCGCTCCTTGGCCAGGCCCTCGCGCGTCTTGGCCAGCATGCCGAAACTGCAAGTAACGTACACTAGCTGTTGGCTCGCAGGTCGAAAACAACACCGCCTTAATTTCGAGTGGGGTGGGCTACTGACTCGTCGCCCTGGTCGAGGCCGAGTCGCGCCTTCTGTTCCAGGTCCATGTTGAGCTTGTTGACCTGGCGGCGCAGGTCATCCACCAGCTCCTGCAGCTCCTGCTCGCGCGCGTGGCTCGTGTCCAGCTGCCTCCAGGCCGCCTCCAGCTCCTGCCGCTGCTGCTGCGAGACCTGCTGTTCCTGCAGCGCCTGCTGAGCCAGCGCCTGCGTGCGCTCCGTGTCGGCGGCCACCCGGGACGTCAGCTCCTTGCAGGCGGCCTCGTAGCGCACCTTGGCGTCGTGGCTCTCCACGAGCATGTCCAGCGCGCGCTTGAAGTCGGTGCTGTACGCGGCCATGCCGGGTCGGCGCTGCATCTGGGTGAGTGTCTGTATGGACGAGGGTGGAGAATGGTGATGACGGAGTTATATTAAACACTGTGGTTGCCTACTGCTTTTTGCCCATCTCGTCCACTTCGTTCACCGTACCTTTCGTAGCTCCTGCTCCAAGGCAGCGAACACTGGGTCTGCCTCCTCGACCTCGATGGCCTCCTCTCCGTCCTTGTCGCCCATGGTGCCAGTTTGACCGGCAGCGCCTGTGCTGTGCAAACGCATTTTGTGATGCGGCAAAACGCGAACAGTGCACTATTGTGAAAAAAAATATTTGAGTGGCATTCAACTTGTGTGTTTTATTTGGACTGGGGATATGGTCTTAGATAAAGAATCTAGCTGCAGTAGTTGCCCTCTGCTCAGATAACACACAGCATTTATATAATACGACGGGAAGAAAGCTCACATCAGTATTCGCCTTACGCTTGGTCTTCCCCGTCCCATTTAAACTGTTGTATTTCCCCTTCTTTTACACGCTACCCCGTCAATGAAACGCACCCGACTAAATTTACAAGTACGCTACCTGATCTCGTAATTTCCAAATTCCAGTCGTTTCAGCACAGTGGTGGCGTCTGCTCCTCTCCCTGTTGCCCCTGGAAACCGGAGACCGGAGGGGAGGCCTGGAGTTTCTGTCTATTTGCAGCGCGGATTTTGGAGCATCTATTGGCACGTCTTCGGCTCATACCTGCCAGTAAGCATTGTACGCGCAGTCGCAGAAAAGCAGACAAAGTGTGTTGTGGTGTTGTGTTTGGGTTTTGTCCGCTTGAAGCTCACCTGTTTTGGAACACTTTTTAAACTTTCAAAATAAACCATCCATGTAAACTCTTGTTAACTCTAAACAAAATTCTCACTTGAAATGTTATTATTTGGCTGAGATTGACGCATCGTACTCATTCACTCTGCATCAGCTGATTTCAAGGTTGGGTTTACGGAAACTGTTCTTTGAGCTATGTTATTTAGTGTCACATTGAGTTGACATCAAATAATGGAGTCCCCTGAAACAAAAAGGGATGTGGGAGAGTGTGGGGCCGGTGTTGCGAGCACATCCAGCTGTTCATCTTCCATATCAGGAGCACTGTCAGATGACTCTTCAGAGAAAATGACCACTTATCCATTCTTGGATTCTGTTGAAGATGAATTTATCCAGGTACTTTTTCATTCTCTTTTATTTGTGTTTTCTTGTTTACCTCCCCCCAACCTTCCCATAAAAAAATAATAATGAGAAAAAAAATATATTTGCAGGCTGGACTAAACCTTACCACAGTTTCTGAGCTTACAGAAGCAGTCGAAAAATGTAAAGGGATGGTTCTTGATACCAAAGAATACTCTGAAGAACGTAAATGGCTTGTGCGATATCTAATAGAACTGCGACTGAGGCTTGAAGAAGCTCGTGAAGCAGAGGTTGAAAAGAGGAAGTTAGATCCCATTGGAACACCTGACTTGTCTCCAAGCAAGGACTCCCTTGTTTCAAATGAAAGAGATCAGAATAAAACAAGAGACAAAAGAATAATTCTTGGACATCATTTTTTTTTGCAAACACCTACTCGCATTGTTTTAAAGTGTGACAGATGTTGTACAAACATATGGGGGTTACTTCATCTTTGGTATGAATGCCGGGGTAAGAATTTTGTGGCACTGATTAACAGTTTAGAATTAGTACAGTTTTAACTATGATATTTCTATCTCTATTTTTTTTTTCCTTTAGATTGTCAGTATAAAGCCCATATGAGATGCCTTCAAAGAATCAGAAGGGAATGTGCCTTTGTTCGTGTGTGTGAAACTCCATACTTTTCTAATGACATATGTCCAGAAGCAGGCTTGGCTGCGCAGGGTTATCGGTGTTATGAGTGCAAAACTGTCATCTCACACAGTAAGTATTTTACATAATTATTCCTAGTACAAGTTTTTGTTATAACAAAGTTCATCTTTTAAATGCATGCTACTGAGAAAAATAGGCAAACTGAAGCAATGTGATGGAAAAATTAAGCGTTGAAATCCCCAAACTTTCCTAAGTTTTGTCTTTTTACATGCAGCCCTACCTCAAGGAATGTTTTTTCTTGGTTGGCGATTCTGGTCAGGTATAATTGATTGATTGTTTAGTCTTCCATTTTTAGAACCTATGTAATTGATTACTGTTACTTCAACAATCTATTGTAGTTTTTAAAAAACTTGTATCTGAGTGTGTAGGCTGTAGTAGTTGAATGCTTTTGTGTGTGATGAATGTTTTTCATGAAAGTATTGTAATGCAATACTTTTATTTAAGCTTTTCTAGGAAGTTCCTACTATGAAAAAATGTGTCTTTTGCAGAGAATGGATGGTGCGAACCTCGTCAATGTGATTATGATGGGCGATATTACTGCAACAAATGTCATTGGGATGCAACAGTTGTTATACCATCACGAGTCATTCACAATTGGGATTTTAGCGAAAGAAAAGTGTGCTGCAGTTGCAATAGCTTCTTGCGGTTGATGTTGAATAGACCAGTGATAAATTTGGATCTTCTTAACCGACAACTTTTCCAATTTGTTGTTGACCTTGTTACTGTTAAGGTAATTACTGCTTTTCAACATATTCCGTGTTCCCTTCAAGATTTTTCTATTTTAATTTGCTTGATGTTTTCAGAAACTGAGGTCACAGTTCCTTCTCATTAAGCAATATTTAACAACATGCCCCAGCAGTCTTCGAGAAAAAAACAAGAAAAAGCTCATATGGTCACTGAACTCTCATCTTATTGAAACTTCAACTGGAGTTTTTAGTTTGCAAGATTTAATTGATGTCCACCGAAACACAATTTTGCCTGTTCTCAAAGAAACTGCCTACATCTCAACTCAACACATACGGAGTTGTCCAGTAAATATTATCTTATTGATGTCAGCAATTTAATCAGAAAAAAAACACAAAAAAACAGACTACCCTAGATATATTGATTATTTTTGTTTCCAGGTGTGCAAATCAAAGGGTTACTTCTGTGAACTATGTCCTAGAAAGAAGATGAATGAAATTGACGATCAAAACCAAAACCAAGACCAAAATCGTGTCCTTTTCCCCTTTGATGATGCAGCATTTGTGTTTGTATGTGAAAAGTGTTCGGCTGTGTTTCATCGTGCATGTTGGATAAAGAGAAATATGGACTCATGTCCCCGCTGTGAGAGACTACAAGAACGTCGAAGCCTACTTCAAGAACCAATAGATTAATATATTTTGAAGCTAAAAAATGAAACCTTGTATTTCAAGTAAAAACATAAGATAATGATAATAT